TTTTTTTTTTTTTTTTTTTTTTTTTTTTTTTTTTTTATATTATTTGATTTAATTTTTCTTTTTTTTAGATATAAGTTTTTTTAAGTTTATTATAATTTATCTAACGTTTTTTTACTTTTTTTTTTTTTTTTTTGGCTTTTATTTTTTTAAAATTTGTTTACAGTTGATATATATAACCATTATATGTTAAATTATTTTTTAATAGTAACTGTTAAATTTTTTTTTTTTTAAAAACTTTTAGTGTAATTGAAGAAATGTAAATTATCTAAAATATAAATTTTTATTTTTTTCTAATTGAATTATTATTAAAACATAATTAACTTTCTTTAAATTTTATATAATACTATTTTTGTTGAATTGTCTTTTATATATTTAGTATTACAATCGTTTTTATTTTTACTTTCTTCTTCTTTTTTTATTAAATGCTATTTTGGTAATTTTAAAATGAAAAAGAAAGACTTAATAAACTTATAATAAGATTCATTGATTTTAAATAAATTTAAAATATGTTCAATTGTATATTTTTTTTAATTTTTATAAGTTAAAAATGAATATAGAAATGTTTTCATTTTAAGTTTATAATATTTTTTTAATATTTAAAATTATTTCTTAAAGAACTTATCATCAAACATAGCAAGAAATAAGAATGTATTATTTACTCTATTTTCATAAATAAAAAATAATTATTTTTATTAAATCTATATAAGTTATATATGTAATATATATATATATATCTTTATTACAAAATGAAACTATTTTTATTAAAATACATAAAAAAAATATTTAATATGTAGTATTATATTTTTCTTTTTAAATAAATTTTGTTCATTGTTATTAGTGCTGTTAAAGATAGGATGAAATATAATGGAGAGATGAAAAAAATGATATATATATATATATATGTGTGTATTTAATTACTTTTAATAAAAAATTTGATTAACTTCTTATATAGTTATTTATGTCTTAGATGTTTACTGAAACTATTTTCTTTTAAGTCTACATATTTTATAATTGCCCTTGGTTGATGTAACGAAGGTTCCTGATCTGGTTCAAATACTATGTTAATAGTATAGCTAGAATAACTAGAATCACATTTGCAAGAGAAATGAAGTTTTTTTGTTTCATTATTAAAGGTGATATAAGATAAACTATGTCCTAAATTATTTTGTTTTATAAAATCATGTTCAGCATTTGTAGATATATCAGTCAACTTTTTAACTCTTTTGCTTGCATTGTTGTCATAAATAGAACTAAAACAATTATCTGGTTTAATTTTAAAATGACTTAAACAAGCAAATCCAGAAAAATCATTATTACCTATCGTAATAGTACATTCTTTACTTTCACTAGGTTTAGGTTTATAAGAATGAGAAAATAAATCTTGGTATTTTCCTGTAAAATCACATCCTTTAACTTCTCTATGACCTTCATTTACATTTACATGTATTCTAGCTATAGTTCCAAAAATTTTATTACTACTCTGAATAGTTGAAGTAAGACTATTATTAAATTCAAGAGTAAAATCTACTGATTTAGGAACGAAAGGTGGTATTCTTAAAGTATATTCACTAATTTTTGTTCTTGAATCATATTTATCTAATATTATACTTCCTGGTAAAATATTATCAATATTTATTGGTTCATTTTTAAATAAAACTTTTGTTTTTAAATTTAATGGGTTAACAAAAATCTTTTCATAATTAGCTTTTTCAGTTGTAGGGTATTTTATTATTAATTTATCCCATCTTGATAAATTAGCAGTGTATTCTACAACAGTATTTTCTTTAACTGTTGATGCATCCATACCTTCCATTATATCACATGTTGAAATTTTTTTTATATGATCATATGTACATAATTCTTTTCCTATTTTTTCATCTTTATCTATAGTCATGGATTTTTCTTCAATTTTCATTTTAATGATATTATTATCACATGTGCAAACAAAAACTTTTTTCAAATCTATTCCTTCTTCAAATGATTTTGGTAACATTAAATATGAATAAGTATTTTCTTTATATTCTGTATTAGAAATAGCAGTAGCATTTTTTATTATATTAATTATTTTTTCTTTAGGTGAATCATTAAATGCATCTGCTGTAGCTCCTAATCCCTCTTCGTTTACATAATAAGTTTCTTCGAAACAATTTTCTGGCTTTAATTGTTTATTTGGGCAATTTATTCCTACAGTTCTGTTGGGTATTAAAGAAATATCACAAATGAGAGGATTTTCTAAATTCTTATTATGTATAAAAATGGAATTGGGACTTTTCTCAGGGTTAACAAAGTCACATCCATCTATTAAATTTTTGTTAGCAGAAATATTTACTTGAATAATACCAAGAGATGTATTATCTTTCTTTGGCTTTTTTGCTGTTGACTTTCCGCAAAAAATTTGAAAACTGAAATCTTCATTTATATATGGAGGTATTAAAAATCTAGATACTCCATCAGTAGGTAAATGTCTTGTTTTATCCTCTTCACCAATTTTTACTTTTAAAAATAAAACCCCTGGCAATTTTTTCCTTAAATTTATTACTTTGTTATCTACAATTACATCTTCTAAAACTTTTGGTGGATAAAATATATGGTTATCATCCCAATCAGCTTTTAATTTTCCTAGATTTTTTAATTCATCTATAGAGATTCCATAGAAATTTCTAACATAAATATCTTTTAAGGAAAATGTATTATTTGTTTCCTCTATGTAAGTAACAAATTCTTTTTCATCAAAGGTAATATTCAATTTTTTATCCTCTGATCCAATAACAGGTAATTCTTCTTTAGCTACAAAGCCTTTTGTGTGTGGACATTTAACCGTTATTACATCTAAAGCTTTAGCATCTATTGTGCATATATTTTTTTGTATCTTTCCTTCTATTAAATTAAAGAAAGACTCATTTGTAAAATCACACCTATGGTTAGTTGAATTTTTTAATATATTATCTTTATCTCCTTCATTTATAACATTTTCATCTCTATATGGTAGTATAATTTCCTTTTTAATATCATTCGATTGAAGAATTTCAAAATTAGTATTCTCTGTTTGCACCGTCATTATTCCAAATGCACTATTTTCTGGATTATAACAATTACAAGAAAAACTAATTATACTATTAAAAGTCTCTGGAACTTTACTATATGATGCAGTATAGTATTTTTTATAATCAAGAGGTAAATTTCCTATATTATAATTGTGAAAATTTAGAATTTCTGTTATATTAGAATAACTATCGAGATTTTGGATATCTTCGAGTTCCCTGTGATCTTCGCCTAATATTTCAAGCGCTTCTTTTGGTTTCAAACTATATTTCAAATTGCTAATATAATCAATTTCTTCATTATCATCTGGGGAGTTTTTATAATATTCCAAAATTACACTACTGAAACATCCTTGTGGAATTAGAGAAAATCCCTTAGGACATATAATACCAAAGATATCTCCTTTTTTTATTCTAACATTACATTCTTTTTCCTTACTTGGAGGAAGGGAATCTGTTAAAGAAGTAGTTCCTGTTGTAAAATCACAAACCATTAAGGAATCTTCATCTATACTTTTTTTCAGAAAAATATATATAAGTCCTCTTTGCTTTAAAGCTGAACTATCTGGTTTTTCATTAATAATTAACTTTAGGTGAACATTATTTATGACAGGTGGAACAAAGAAGCTGAAACCGTGACCTTTTTTTTTACTTTTTTCAAAATTGAAATGTCTATTTCCAAATACTCCTTTTAGTGCTTCACTAATATACACTTCTTTTTGACTATCTGAAATGATTTTGAAATCTTCCCCCTTAACAAATTCAGGTTTTAATGAAAATTTCTTAAGTGCATCATTATCTGTATTTTCTACACCTAATATAGGTAACTGTATTACTACTTCTGAAAACATTTCTGGTTCGATTTTACATAAAACTACTTTAGTTGGATTTGATTCAAAAGATAAATCAGGATTATCATAAAAGTTACACAAATTTACATCATTATGTTTTACTGCATTCACAGATTTCATGTCTTCTAATTCTATTTCATCTTTGTTTAATGTAACTTTCATTGTTCCTTTAGTAGTTATATTTTTTTTGCACGCACATGAGAAAGTTAATTTATTTAAGTAATCTAAAGGTGCTTTTGCATATGCTATTTTTTTCTTCGAATTATGTAAAGTATATATTCCTATGTTAGGAATTAATTCTTTAAATTTTTTTTTTTTTGCACTTTTATCATATACTTCCTGAAAACAACCTTCTGGATCTAAAGTAGTATTATTATCACATATTATTCCAAATGCTTCATCTTTATCAATTTCAATTGGACACTCCTTTTCTTGACTATCTACTATTGCCATTCCTGTAGTTAAAATCTTACTACTAGTAGTAGAAAAATCACATCCTTTAATTTTTTTTTCATTTTTCGCTATATCTAAGTGAATAATTCCTTTAAAACCAGCAACATTTTCTGTCACTTTGTATTCATTATTATTGCACTCTACTTTCAAATATGTCTCTTTCAAAACAACAGGTGGTATAACTATGGCAGCATAAGAATCGAAAGGATTGCTTTTTTTTATTACTTTCATAGTTGTATATATAGAACCTGGTAAAACTTCAGTAATATCCTTTACAGCATCGTCTGATTCATTCATAACTTTTTCAAAAAATGTATCTGGTTTCAATTTCATTTTATCAAACATATTTCCAAAGGTAGTATCATCTAAGGCACCTTCTTCTGGAACATCTGCCTCCTCTCCATTAATCAACGAAATAACATATTTTTCGTCTTCATCATCAGCTTCTGATGTCTTAGTTTTTGCAGTAGCGTATTTAGTTTTTTCCGTTGGGCATTTTACGTAAAGAGTATCTAATGGTTTTAATAAGCTATAACAGTGGATTTCTTTTAACTCTTTTGTTTGTGTGGGATCTGGAATTATTAAACTTTTTTTCGAAAAATCACACACGAAACTTTGATCATTTACTTCTTTAGGTGCTATTATTTTAGGTGCTTTTATATTAACTTGCAAGGTGTATGTTTCTGAAGGAGTTATTTCCAAGCTTGTAAGATCGGCTAAAATCTCTTCTTCTACTTTTTCATTATAGATACTTTCTAATACATCATGACCATCTTCATCTTCTAAGTGTAAGCTGTCCATTGGATCATATTTAAACAAATCAGGATCAGTATCTTCAAGTGTGTCAAGAGTTTCTAATATACTTTCAGGGTCTCCTGCATCTGCTACTATCTTTTTTTCTACACTATTGAAAAGTCGAACTATTCTACTTGGTTTTTCAGATAAATATACACTCTTATAATTTGTAACAATTGTACCTTTCGAAAGACTTTCTGAATAATCACCGTAAGTAATTTTCAATTTATCAAAAATTTTATCTACAACTCTTGCGCTTAATACGAAATTTACCTTATAATCTTTTTTCAAATCTATACATAAACATTTGAAAGATATATCTTTTTCTATTAAAGATGGTACTTCTATATAACTAAATTTATGACCAAAAGTATAATTGGCTAAATTATCTTCTAAGTAAAGCATTTGAGCAAGATTAACAAAAGAATTATCAACTACAGCATCTCTAAAGCAACTTGTTAATTTTATAGTTCCACTTGGGCATACAAATCCTATTATATCTTTTGGAGACGCATCAATAACACAATTATTTCCATCTACTTCATTTTCAAATATATCTGATTTTTTAGATTTAAAAGAACAACCTTTTACTTTTTTATCTCTTTTAGGAATAGTAATTTGATAAATTAATTTGTCTCCTTTTTTATCATTATATTGTGTGGCACTATTATCACATGCAATGTTAAATTCAACATCATCTTTTATGTAGAAAGGGAAGAATAAATATAAGTGAGGTAAATCCACTTTTTCTTTATTGTAAATTAATATCAATTCCTCTGTTTTTCTTAACAATTCAGCATGAGGTACTAAAGTATCTAATTCTTTTTCAGAAAATGGTTTATATGCAGGAACATTTTGAGGTTTTTTTGTATTATAGGTTATATTAATATTATTATATATTGCATAATCATTAGAAGGACAGAACACTTCTACATAATTAAGGAAATCTTTCACTTCAATTTCACAGGTGTGCTCAATATTTTGATTTGCCTTTTTCATTTCTTTAGGTTCAATAAAATCACGGTGTTCACATATATATATATTATCTTGGTTAATAGCTTTTTTTTTTATTTCTTCTTTATCTTTTGCAGTTTTTGCACTTTTAACATTTATTTTCATTACCTTTTCTTGAGATTTTAAGGTACATTTACAACTTATTTCTGTATCCACGCTTAGTGAATGAGGAGGTATTTTCAAAAATATCGGAGTTTTTTTATCATTGATATTGTAAACCTGTGCATCTTTTAGAATCTCGACAATGTCTTTTTTGGCTCCTGTTTTATACACTTTTTTAAAACATTCAGGAGGATCTAGATTTATCTCTGTAGGATCTACGTCATCGTCATAAGTAGTTTTTAAACAATTAAATCCAATAATATCATCAATATATGCATCAATAGTACATTCGTGAGTACTTGAAGCAATGTTTTTTGTAAAATAATCAATTTTTACATCATGGAAATTACATCCTTTTATTAAATCCTCGTTTTTTGAAATAAGTAATTCTACTATTCCTGTATTACCTCCATCTTTGTTATTGTTGCAACCCATCATAAAATAAAATGGCTCATTTGAGTCTATGTAGGGTGGAACTTGAAAAGTTACATCAAGAATATTTTCATCGGAATCATTAACTTTTATATTTAAATAACGAATTTTTTCATTAATTGCCACTTTTTCTTGAGTATCTAAAAAGGAAAATAATTTTACTAAACCATCTGCAGATGTCGTCCCTTCAAATAAACCTGTATCCTTGTAAGTTTTTAAAAAAGGATTATTTTTAAATTCATCTTTTGCAACTTTATAGAAAGGAAAAATAAAATAAGATGGATAATCATTTAAAAATTTATTATTTCTTAAAGTAAAATTCATATATTTTTTTAAAAGATAATACTGAGCATTCAAATTGAATTGAATAACTTCATTTCCAGCTTTAAGACTTTCAGGCATAACTTCCATGTTTTTATATTTAACTACATTTTTATTACATTTCATAGTTACTTTATCAAATTCTTTCAAACTTTTCCTGCAAATTAGTAATTTCTTTTCGTGTTCAAGTACTTTATCAAGCTTATCAGTAAAATCACATGTATATTCATTTTTCCCATCAGTTTTAGTTGCTATTTGAATCGTCTTATTTATTTTTACGAATGATTCAAAAATTTCAAATAGAGAAAAATTTATTTCTTGATTAATACTTACATATACTAAATGCACTTTATCATCGTTTAAAGTAAAAGAACAAAACAAATTAAGATTATCCTTAAAACTTGCAGGTATGCTAACATATTTGACATTAAAATATTTTTCATTCATTTCTTTGTTATAGATTACAGAATTATTTATTAAATCAGTTATACTCTTTTTTTCTTTATTCCATTTTGCAGCATTTGTATAAGGAATCATTTCTTCAAAACAAGTAGTTGATTTTGTGTCAGTTGGGAATATAATACCTCCTATTTCGTTACTATTTAGCTGGAAGTAACATGGAGGTCCAGGCTTTTTTACATCAAGATTATTTGTGAAAAAATTTTTATTAGCTTCAGAATAGTTACATCCTTTTATAAGTTTTCCATATGGTTCTATTGTAATTTCTGCTACTCCTCTATTTCCTTTGTTAGAATCTTCAACAGTTTTTGAGTTATCACAAATGAAATAAAAAACAGTTTTTTTTTGTACTAATGGTGGAAGTATAAATTCTATAACTCCTTGGTCAAAGTTATTTTTTTTCTCTTTATTTTTTGGTGGTACAATAACACCATAAATTAATTCAGAAATCTTTTTTTCTTTTAATTTTTTAGTTTCTTCAACTAATACAACATATGGAGCTTTTTTAGGAAAATAATCAATATTATCAAATTTTTTTTCTACTGAAGCTTTTAAAGGACATATAATTTTTACCTTAACCATTGGTTCTTCAATTTGAAATTTACATTTTTTTACTTTTGATGCTGCTTCTGTTGGTTTTAATTTTTCTGTAAAATCACAAACATATTCTTTATTAGTATTGTCTGATGAATATTTATCAAAGCTTGATTCTATTATACTTAAATCTCCATCTTCTGTCGTTTCATATCCACCATCTATTGTATCATCAATTTCATGTGGTTCGTCTTCTAATGTTGTTACTATATCTTCCTCCTCAATATCTTCGTAATCTTCAAATTCATCTTCCATTCCTTTTATTGCATTTTCTTTCTTAGTAAAATATTGTTTATGTTTTTCATTATCTTCATATTCTCCTTTAACATATTCATAAATTTCATCATCATCGTATTCTATTTCATTATTTTCATTATCTTCATATTCTTCTTCATTATCATCATATATTTCATTATCTTGGTACTCTTCTTTATTACTTTCATACTTTTCATTATCTTTGTATTCTTCATCATCATTTTCATATTCCTCATTATCTTCGTATTCTTCATCATTATTTTCATCCTTTTCATTATCTTTGTATTCTTCGTCATTATTTTCATATTCTTCATTATCTTCATCTCCTTCTTCATCATCTTTTTCATATTCATCTTCTCTTTCCTTCTCTCGTCTATCGTTCTTTGAAAGATACTTTTTTGGTGGACCGCTTTCATTTAAAATTCTTTTTTTAAGCATGGAATTATTATTAATTGATATGTTGAGATCATTAAAGGTAGTAAAATGTGAAACTAGAAAATTATATTTATTTGTTGTCTTTTCAAAACTTTGATTATGAATATGTAAGAATTTTATCATGTATTTTATTAAAAATGATTTTAAAGAATTTTCCCATTTCTCATTTTCTTTTTCTCTCATCATTTTTGATTCTGAATAGTTTGTATATCTTGAATACATTTCTCTAAAATAATATATTTTTTCCTTAATAAGTAAGAAAGCTTTTTTCTTTATTGTTTTACTTAAAAAAATATAAAATTTTTCTTTTATTGTAGTTTTCCTAAATTCCCCATTTTTAATTATGCTGTCATTGTCTTTATAATCAGTTGATACTCTTTTAGTATATTCACTATTTTTTTTAGTTACATTTGTTTTTATCTCTTCATAATGAAACTTTTCTGATAGCTTTTGAGAGAATAATTTATTCTGTAAACAATTTTCATTTGGGATAATTTTATGAGTTTTATTCTCCGTTATACCCTTTTTTTCTAGTAAACCTTTAGGTTTCCTTAGACTCAAAATAATTTCATTTTTATTTTTTCCTTTCTTTGTTATATTTACTTTATTTAAATGCTTTAAGTGTCTTTCATCATGTAAAAGTCTAAAAGTAGAGTCATTTTTTTTTAAGCTTTCGTTAGTACCTATATTATGTTTTTTTACTATTGTATATACTAAAAATGTTAGGAAAAAATGCTTTATCATAATTAATTTTCCCATTTAAGAAAAAAGGAAGAAATACATATATATATTTATATATATATATATGGGTAGATAAATGAATAAATAGATAGATAGATATATAGATGAACGAATAGATAAATTGATGAATAGATAGATGAATAGAAAGTTAAATAAGTAAATATATATATAATATATTGAGTGTAAAAATTTTATTTAAATATTTCTTAAGCTTTTCTTAAAAATGGAAAAAAAAAAAAAAAATAGCTACTTATTAGTACAATATGTACTTTTATTTATTAATTTTTTTTTTTTTAACATTAAAAAGTTATCTCATTCATTAACTACTTATTCATATTTTACTTTAGCAATTATATCTCTATACTTTCTTATGTGTGTATTTTAATATTTTTCAGTATATAACTTTTTCTATTCTCTATAAAAATATTTACATAATAAATCTATAGAGTTTTTTTTTTTTTTTTCTATAATTTTTTATGTATGCAAAATTTCTTCACATGTATTTTTTTTTTTTTTTTTTATGTCTGTATTTTTTTTTTTTTATAGAAAGTTTTTTCTGCATGTCTATATATATATTTTTAATTTTAATATCTATGATAAAGTATCTTGCTTATTTCTCACATACCATATTTTCTAATTTTATTTATATTTTTATGTATATTTAAAAAATTTTCTTAATTATTATAAATTATAATATTTAAAAATAAAAAATACATAAAATAAAGAAAAAAAAAGAAAAAGATAATTTAAAAATTTTTCCTGTACACACATATAAAGTATTTTATTTTTCTTTTTTTTTTTTTTTTTTTTTATTATCTGTTATGAGTTAATATTTAGCTTTTATAGTTTCGCAAAAAAAAAAAAAAAAAAAAAAGATATTTATTAAAGAAAAATTGTCTCAAGTTATGCACCTGTGTATTTTATAGTTTCTTTCAATATTAATATAAAGTAACCAAAAAATCAAGCTTGAAATATGCTAGTAAAATACATGTAGACAGCGTGAAATTATTTTTTAAAAGGTCTCACACACACATATATATATATATACAGTATTATTTCTAATAACAGTTAGTGAAATCAATGTACGCAAACTGTACTTTTCATTTACACATATTTTAAATATAATTATTTTCATTTTAATATTGAAGCTTAATATAAATTAAAATTTATATGTTAATAAATTATTTTAATAAGAAATGTTTATATATATATAAGAATAAGAGTTTTTTTTTTTTTTTTTTTTTTCATAAATGCAAACATAAAATTAGTATACAAAAACATAAAGTGAACTCATATATTTTTAAAAATATTTTATCATTAAAGTATTAATATAAAATAAAAAGATAAGCCAAATTTCTTTTAGTTTGAAAAAAAAATTATTAAAAAGGTTTAAAAAAAAAATAGAATAAAAAAAAAAAAAAAAACATAAAATGTCTAATAAAAGTTTTTTTCTTAATTATTATTTCTTTTTATTTATTAAAAAAAAAAAAAAAAAAAATATTTATATTATTCATTCATAAGATTTAAATCAATATCTTTATATTCTATAATTGGTTTTTCCAGGTTCACTTTGGGGGTACCCATAACATAAGGTTCATATAATATTTTCATAGATAATTCTTTGTATCCCCCATTTTCATTACTATAGCACTTACATATGAAATAATTCGAAATAACTCTTTTAATATGAATAAAAGATAAAATAGGTTTACCATTACTTTTAAACAGAAAGGTATTTTTTGATTCAATCAAGACATCCTTTTTAAAAACTTCATCATCTTTAATTACATTTTCAAAACAATCTGAAGGATGCATTTTCGTATGAGAAGGGCATGCAAGACCGATTAATGCATCATCCTCTACTTTAATTTCACAAACATAGTTATTTGATAATTTCTCCCATTTACTACTAAAATAAAAATGAGTTGAATAATCACCGACAAAATCACATCCATGCATTTTTAAAAAATTCGGCTTTATGTTAATTTTTACAATTCCTGTTTTTCCTCTTTTACTTTCATTTAAAGTTAGTGAATTATCACACAATATAAAAAAGTTTGCTTCATTTAATAGAAGCGGCGAAACATATAATGTGCCAACATACTTTTTATCACTTATTTCTCTTTTATATGTAACAAAAGAAATCACTTCATTGATATTTTTCATAACTAATACTTCTTTTTTTGTATTAGAAATTTCCTCATCCTCATTTAATTTATCTATATCTTCTACAGTAGCCTTTGGCTTTTCCGATTTTATAGATATAATTACTTTATTTCCAAAATCATCGTAAGTTACTTTTGTTTCTTCCTTTTCCTTCATAGCTTCTCTAATTCTATTTTCTTCATCATCTGTTTCAGCTGAATCCTCTACTATTTCTGTTATTAAACTATCATCATTAACTCCTTTTTTTTTTCTTTTATTTAATTGATTTTCTGAAACATATACATACTCAAAAAAATTTTCAGGACTAATTTTTGATTGCCTGTAGTGCAGTGAATTTCGAAGGGGGCATATAATTTTTATTTGGCTAAATTCAGAAGCAGCCACACTAATTTCAAATACTTGTTTTGTTCTTAAAGGGTTTAAAACATTTTCTTCTTCTACATCTTCTTCATCTTCTATTTTTACAAATTCATCGTCACTTAATTTATACTTAGGATCTTTATCATGCGTATCAACTGGTACCTCATGTGAGAGACTATTATGTCCCGACATGGTTCCTTTATAATTTAATAAATTATATGGAGGAAATTTCGCTTTTTCAGATTTTCTAAGATTTTGTCTTTTTTCTACTTCTGTCTCTTCGTATTGATCTTTGTTTACACTTAATGAATCATAAGACTCTAATAATTCTGGTAATACGCTGAGAACATTTTCAGAGCTAATGTTAAGAGGTCCAGAAGAAAAATCATAAAAATATTCCATTTTTTCAAATGCATAAATATTATGAGTTATTTCTTTTTTAAACCAATTATTTAAATCATCCCCTATAATATTTAATTGAATAATTCCCGTTTTTATTTGTTTGATTGAATTACACGTACAAAATATTTTTAGAGATTTTTTTATTCTTTTTGGTAGGATAATATAAGAAGGGGTAAAGTTATACTTATATATTTCATTATTTAAAATTTTAACTCCTTTTACTAGTTGTTCTAGTTTATGTATTTCAAGTTCTTTATCTAGACCTTCTTTTTGAACAGTTTCGAAGCAATTTTGAGGAGATGTAACAAAATTGTGAGGGCAACTAAAGCCGACGATATCATTTTCAATAGCTTCAATATTGCAGTATACGTTTTTTCCTTCTACTAATTCTATTTCAAATTCAAAAGAATTTTTTTTGTTACGTCTTGATTCACCATTTATGTGTGAAGAATCAGAATCTGCTTCATACGACATATCTATAAAATCACAACCTAATATCTTATTGTCATTCTTTTTAATAAATACAGAAGCAGAACCAATTTTCCCTGTCCCATCTTTCTGAACATTTTCGCATGAAAAATTGATACTTTTAGAAGAGTCTGCATATGGGGATATGATAAGCTCTAATTCTCCTTTTTCAAAAAAGGAAGTATTTTGATTTTTATTAATTAATAATGTTCCATATAAAGTATTATTTAGTCCCTTTAACATTGTATTTTCATTTAAACCTAAATTAGAGCTATAAATAATGTTTTGAAAATTGTTTTGTGGATCATCTACGTTCTTTGATGGGCATTTAACTATAAATTTATCGAAGGCACTAAGATCAATATTACATCTGTAAATAATTATATTGTCTGTATATTGACTTTCATCATATGGACTTTCGTCTAATTCTTCTATTTTTTTTTTTAAATAATTTATATACTGTTTTTTCATAGCCTCTTTTCTCAACTTCAAGTTTAAGCTAAAATGACGAAATTCATCATGCTTATATATTAATAGAAAACTTAGATATTTTTTAAGAATATCTGTTATATCAACTTCTTTATTTAGAGAAATGAAATAGTTTTGTTCTGTAAAATCACAAACATATGTATCTTTCGCATAATAAGGACTAACTTCTATAAACACAGTTTTTTTGTTATCATATTCTTTAGAAAATATCAAATTTTCTTTATTTTTTACATATAGAGTACCTATATTTTTACTTTCATAATGTTCACAAGTACAATAAAAATTTAATTCTTGTTTGGTTATTTTTGAAATTATTAGAAATGTGGGAGAACTGTTAGTTAAATCGTGAGCATTTATAATTTTAACATCATTAAAGATATTTTCTATTTTTTCTTGTAATTCTTCTCCCATATTGCTTTTTATATATACATCTTTAAAGCAGTTAGTGGGATTTATTTGCCCTTGGGGACAATTAAGACTAACAATTATATTTTCTTTTAAATTAATTTCACATGTTTCACTTTTTATTTTTAAATCATAAACAGAAGAATAATAAAATGTTTTTTTAGAATTTCCTGAAAAGTCACAACCATAAAACTTTTTATCAGTTGTATTTTTTGGAATTTTTACAACAATAGTACCTTTTCTCCCTTTTTTATTACCAATAACAGTTTCTGAATTATCGCAATTTAATTTGAGAGTTACATCATTTTCAACTATTAATGGAGAAACAAAAGTAAAATGTCCTTTTTCTCCGAAGGGCCTATTTTTATCAAGTATAATTATTCCTGGTAATACATCCTCTATTTTTACTTTTTTATTATAATTTAATAGTTCATCATCAAAATTATTTGGATAGTATTTCATATTTTTATATTTCTTTATATGATCTTCGTCATCTTGATCTAAATCTTCAGAGTGACCGAGTAAATCTTCTCTCGTTGCCCTACCACCTGCCTTTTTAGGACTCTTAACATTTCTAGGGCATATAATTTCTATTAGATTTAAGTTATCTTCTATTTCTAAAAAGCAAGAATGAATAATTAATAATTCATTGTATGGATCTAAGGAACTTTCTTTTTTAGTAAAATCACAAATATGTTTTTTTCTTACAATATCAATGGGTTTTCTATCAACAAATTCGTTTCCAATTAAAAAATCGGATTCAAAAATATGATCTATCATTTTAATTTCGGATACACCTACGTTAGAAACATTTAATTCAATATTTATTTTATTTTCTTTTTTAATGATTCCATCTTCACCTTCTTCTGTATTGCAATAACAAAATAAATTTATGTAGCCTAAGAAGCTTTGAGGAATTTTTAGATAAGAAATTCCTTTATCATTAGAAAAATGTTTAAAACCTTTATCATATTCTGTTATTCTGATTGGTACATCTGATTTATCATATGTTTCTAAAAAGCACTCAGGAGGAGTTAAAAATAAGTTATTTTCAGCTGGACAAGCTATTCCAATATATTCAAGTTCTCCGTCACTTTTTATGTTACAATCTTCTGCTGAACCTACTTTAATATTTTTTTTTAAATAGGTATTTTCAGGATTATTTTTATAAAAATAACAACCATCTATTATACTACCAGCAGACCTTATATAAACAGTCATTATTCCATTATTTCCTAAATTTCCACCTTTTCTTGTTTTGTCATTTATACAAGCAAATTCTATTGTTTGATTTCTTTTTAAATAAGGAGGTAATTGAAAAATAAAAAACCCATTTTCTATATTATTTTCAAGTCCTATATATTTATCGTATAATTTATTACTTCCTAGTTGAATAGTTTCTACACCATGAGAAGCAGAAATATCTCCGTTTTCTCCTACATCAGTTATCATGATATTAATAATATCTTTAACTAAAACTCCAGGAATAATTTCATTAATATCAACAACATCCAATGCACTTTTATCTATTACATGTAGTGGTGCATTTTTTGGTAAATGAGTTAAATTGGAATAGATATTTCTTTTTTTTAAATATATATTTATATCTTCGGCACCTTCTTCATCCATAGTTGATAATTCAGATATTTTTTTTTCATTTTCTTCATCAACTAGACTAATGGGGCAATTAAGAGCAACATATTCTAATGGCTTAGGATGAATAACACAAACATAATTTTTAGGTGTTCTAGTTTTAGGTTCTAAAACAGATTTATCATTTACAAAGTCACATAGATGGGTTTTTTCAGGATTTTTAATTAATGATTCATGAGGAACTTTATCATATATATTATAATCATATAGTTCATCATGATTTACATATTTCACTAAAACTTTTTTTACTATTGTATCTTGATTAGATTTATTTACACAGTGACATTCAAATTCAAACGATTTAGATATGTGATTATGAAAGGCTGCTACAGCTAAATTTTCTTGCTTAATGGAATAAATAACCAGATTTCTAGCAGACTTATCTTTTAATTTGTAAATTTTATCTGATTGATATACTTCTGAAAAGCATTTATCTGGTTTTTTAACAGTTCCTTCTGGACACTTAAATCCAAATCTTGAATTGGAACTAACGGTTATATTGCATGTATCTCCTGAAGAGTAACTATTTAAAAAACTATAGTTGCGAGACTTTGTAAAATCACAAAAAAATACACTTTTTTTTTGTAAGTTTGTTCTTAAATGTAACAAAATATTTGCTTTTTGAAATTTATCTCTTCCATAAGGTATATTACATTCAATAATTAAAGGATAAGGGCCATGATCAATATAAGAAGTCATAAAAAATTTATACTTAGGAAATTTTTTTTCTATATCTAATATATCTATATCTTTTGTAAATAAAGTGATATCACTAAATTTATCAATTTTGTAAGTTTCGTTTAAATATCGTATAGAAGAAACCGGTTCAGTACCAAGAATTTTTGTGCCTTTTATCATTTCACAATTATATACAAAAAGTGTGAATTCACTAATAGTTCTTTCGCACACTTGAACATTGTATCCAGCTTTATATTCAAAGTTACAAATTTTGTAAGGAGCATCATTATAATATAGATATTCAGGTTTATCATCTTCTAAAAAATGCATTTCTTTGAAAGTCGTTACTTCTCCTTTTCCAAAGGTTACTTTTTTTTTTTTTTTTTTATAAGTAAATGAACAAGAAAATTGAATTTCATCATCTGAAAATTCTTCTAGTAGGAAAAAAAATCTTAATTTTATATTTCCTCTATCCATATTTAAGCACTTTATAAATTGGAAGGCAACTTCTAAATGAACTCGTTTTTCCTCTTCATAAACAGTTTTAAAACAATCGAAAGGATCTAAATCTGCATCTTCTAATTTTAATCCAAGTATTCTATTGTGATAACTACGAAAAGTATAATCATTAATATCTTCATGAACAATTCTTTCAAATATATCTTTATCTTTCTCATCAGTGCTAACTCCTAGTATTTTTCTAGTACTTCTGGGTATACGTATTCTAACTTTTATTAAATCTTCGAATGTATATGTTTCATCTATTTCATTATTTGAGCATGTAATCATAATATCTACTAGCTGAAGTGAATACGATGGTATCATAAAATCAATAACTCCTTTAGATAAAATATTTTTTAATCCCCAATTTCCTTCATCTTGAAAAAATGGAATAGGATAAATTTCTTCTGATGAAGATATTTGATTACTCTCTTCAAGAAAATGATGAAAAGCATCATTAGGTCTGGTAATAATATGAGAATAAGTTAGAGATGGCTTAAAGCAAATAATAACTACCCTATGAAACTTTTCAGATGTATCTATTACAATCTCGTTATTGTTTTTTTTTCTTTTATTATTTCCAGTAAAATATTCATGTAAATTTACAACAGTTTCATTTCTCTCCCCTGATTTTACATAAGGTTTTAAATCTTCATTTTCTTCCGTAACTGATAATTTTCTAGTATTATTAATGTAAAGAGAATTTGTTAGATAAAATTTTTTTTCTGATAGTACTTCTGTATTATGATAATAATCATTGTTTTTTTTCTTTTTTAAATTATTAAATACATGAGAATATATATCATACATATATTTATATATGTAGGATGATAGATATAATATATATTCATATGATTTATTATTATTACTATTTTTAATTATATTATTATTATTATAATTCTCATTATTTGAAAAAGATTTAAACCCATTAACTTCATTATTGTAATTATAAAAAATATTTTTTTTTAATAAATTTATTATATCATCATAATTTAAAAATATAAGAATAAAAATTCCGTAGATGTAAAAATAATATATTATTATTTTTTTATGCATTTTTTTTTTTTTCTTATTTTTTTTACTATATTATATTTTACTTTTTTACTTAATATATTTGCATTAAGTAGAAAAAATTAACTTTTATATCAATCTATTTATATATATATATATAATTCCTTATTTTAACCTTATTTTTTGCACATATGTGATTATAATATTAATATATTAAGCTTTGTTCCAATTTCCTATTAATTATATATATTTCTATTCTTTTAGTATTTTAACTTGTTCCAATATATTGCTATTATTATTATTATTATTATTATTTATATTTGTCTAATTCACATAATATTTTCTTTTTATCTAATATATTTTTTTATATTATTTATGTATTTAAATTTTTATCTTTCTACAGATGATATTATTTTATATATTTTATATATTTTAAATAATCTAAGTGAAATATTTTTTAATTTTTCTCTTCAACTTTTATATGTAAAATAATTTATCTAATAAAAAAAAAAAAAATTATATTAGAATATCTATTATCATAAAATATCTATTCTTATAAAAATAAAAAAAATCATTATTAAACTACATTAGATATATCTTTTTGTCTTTTTTTTTTTTGCTTTTTTTTTTTTTTTTTTTTTTTTTTTTTTTT